AAAAAAAAAAAAAAAAAAAAAAAAAAAAAGACAAGAAAAATAAATCACAAATGCTTTGATGCTCTTGAATGATCAACATCGAGCTTTAGAAATAAAAAAGTTGTCAAATTTAAAAAAAAAAAAAAAAAAAGAAAAATCAAAACGACAGTAAAAGGAGGGGAATAAAATGGCATTTAGGAGTTGACTTCGTGTCCATGTTGGTTTGCTGATTATCTCAGCCGGGATCTGACGGGACTGCAGGCACCAGCTGGTTACATTCATATTCAAAGGGCACTTTGGGCTGTGCACATAAATAAAAATATTTCCAGAAATCTCATTGGTTGGTTGGTTGGTGATTAAGTCCCTCATCCAGCTGTGGGTAAGGCATCGTTCAGCGTGAACCAATAGCAGCGCAGGGTTTCTAGGGAGAGGTGGGGCCTCTAGTCAAACATGCTCCTCCGAGTGGGACTTGGTGACGTCTTTCTGCCGAGTCGAGGAGTCCCCTACAACGTAAACATACACGTGTGAATAGTTAATGTGACGGTCGACATGTAAACAGACTTGAAATTACAAATGGAGGGCAGCGATGAGGACGTACAGGTGACTGAGCTTTGGAGAAGTTGACGTGTGCATAAAGCAACACTGCAATATCCTTGTGTCCTGCTTCCAGAGCGATGGACAGGGCATTACTCTCATCCTGAAGAGAAGAGGAGAAAGACACATGAAGACGAAACGAAGAATAAAAGATCAGTTAGAAACAGAAGAATAAAACTTCTTGTACAGGATGAGTCTAACTCAATTGGCAGTCCCTACAAACCCAGTTTTTTCTGTATAATTTGGACAACTAAAGTCATTTTAAAACTAAGTTCAGGAGCCTATCCCAGGTGACACTGGGCAAGGGGCGGAAAGCAATGAAAACAAAATACAGAAGTACAAGTACCTAAAATTTCTCACAGTACTTGAGTAAATGTACTCACGCTGTCGCTCAGTGTGGCGTCACAGCCGGGTTGAGCCAGCAGCAGTTTGACGATCTCGACGTGTCCGTGTTCGCTGGCGCACATCAGCGCCGTGGAGCCCTCGTCGTCCTGGATGTTGACGTCGGCCCCGTGAGCCAGCAGGGCCCGAACCATGTCCATCCTGCCGTGACTGACCGCCAGCATCAGCCCCGTCTGACCCGCCTGAATGCAAACAATTACAATCTTTAAATCTCAATGAAACAGTAAAGTGAAACTGTAAATATGAGCAAGTAAACATCTCATGACATCTGTATAACTTTAACAAATCCCAACAGTTACCTTGCTCTACCACTTGGTGTCACAAAAGTACAAATTTTCCTACTTTAGGGTACAAATACATGGGGAAATGAACCTGCTGATTAATTCTGCAGTTTCAGCCACACTCATGTTCATCATCTTGTTTTGTGTGTTGCTGATTTTATAATGAATGATCAAAACAAAAGACAAAAACCTTACTTGAAGCCTTTTAAAATAACCTTTCATGGGTCTATTTCTGCTGCTTTTTAGCTTTAACCAGCTTAAATGAGTTCTTCATTTGTCCTCACAACCTGGATTTCCCCACTGGTTGAAACCTGAACTCTTTGTTTGTGCCCTGCTGCTGACCTCTGACCTCTCAGCCACTCACCTGGCTGGCTCGAGCGTTCACATCGCCCTTGCTGAAGAGCTCCTCCACAATACGCATGTCCTTAGGCGTCTCCACAGCGGCCAGCGCGGCCAGCATGATGGGTGTGTATCCCGCCTTGTTCTGCTGGTTCACGTTACACACATCTGAAACACACACACACACACACACACACACACACACACACACACACACACACATCATGTTTAAAGCACTCCGCAGCAGCTGGAGGGAACACTCTTTCAGCACGGGTGGTCTCACAGCTTTGAATGCTGTGTCTCTGTCTGTGATTGACTCGTCGCTGCCCGTCACTCAGCAACACAGTAATGTACGCGGACGTGTGTCAGGCCGGTGACTTCTCCTGGGACCATGATGCTTTGTGTGGACCTTAAAGAACTCATCCTTGCAAAGGAGACAAGACACGAGATGGGAGGTGAGGCGGGTCTGAGGGTGGCTGCCCTGCCCACTGAGGGGAGGAGAGGTCTAAGGAACTGGGAGGACAAAGACTACAATGGGGACAGGAGGGGGGGTGGATTTGCTGTCAGCGAGCACAAGGACACAAAAGGCCCAGGAGACAAAAGGCTTTTAGAGCAGCGAGTGGCCGAGACCTCATCACACTCTATTGAGCCTTCAGAGAGATCGCTGCAAGGCAGTGGTGGAAGAAGTATCCAGATCTTTAACCTGAGTTAAACTACTAATACAACCTGTAAAAATACTCTGTCCTGGACTGAAAATGTTACTTAAGTTTAGGCATGTAAGTATAATCAGATAATGTATTTAAAGAGTACTTCACCTCCCAAATGATCATTTGAAAATCAGTTATTCACCCTGTGTTACGTTGAATTTGTGAAGAAAACGTCTTTCTCTCATGCCTCCACAGTAAACGAAATGTCCAAACAGATAAAAACAGATACAATTCTTGATGAGTAGGAAGCCACAGGTAACCATGTTCAACAATCAAAACAACAAGGTTCCCATGTGGGAATTGAACCAGGAACACTGTGCTCACATTGTACACATATTAACCAGAAGGCCGTCAGATGTCCTGAAGTTTCTCACTATTGTTTTTGTTTTTCTTGTCTACTCGAGAAGAACGTGTTCTGAGATTTGACGCAGTTTATCTAATGCTGAAGTATGATGTTGCCACAGAGAGGAGTTATCTGTAACTCCTACATAAACATGATGATTGTGAAACCAGATCAATAGTAATAAGGAGAGTCTCTTTATCATGACGTCTTTGCAGAGGTACAGTTTACTACTGTGCAGAGTAAGTGGCACTGATCCCGGCAGTGTGTGTTTGACACAACTTTAAAGAGTATTACTGCAACAGTCTGTAATGGATGACTCTATATATTAGCGAGGAGCTGCCGGGAACAGAGAGAGCAAGTGTAGCTACGTGCCTTTGAGTGTCATGCAGCGGTCCTCGTGTTAATGGTAAAATAGAAAGAGGCAAATTTTTATCTACAGGGATCTCCCGATGGAACAACCTTTGTCACTACACAAAGCTAAACAAGACAAGTTTTAAGACTTAAGTTAAGGAGGAGTTGTGGGGAGGGTTGATGGTTCATCTTTAGGCCCTGACACACCAAGCCGACACTCGGCCGTCGGTGAGCATATGTCACCCTTGTCAGTTCAGTTTTGGCTTATTCAGCATGTTGACTTAGCGTTGGCAACATTGGTGATTGAAATCTCTGTGATTGGCTGTTCAGCTCAGCGCACGAGATGAAAAACAGAAGTGAGGAAAGTAAACAAAAAGCTACAGTAAAGAGGGAGTGAGGAAAAAAACAAACGTCACTGTTCACTGGCACACAGTAAATATACTTTATTCTTTTAACATTGGGCTGTGTTGTTCATGTGCTTACTGGCTAACTAGTGTCAAAGGTTTT